CCAGGCTTGGGGCATCCACAACTTCTCTGGGCAACCTGTTCCAGTGCCTCACCATCCTCACAGTAAAGATTTTCTTCCTAATAAGCCATTCCCCTTTATCCTGTCACTACATGATCTTGTCAATAATCTCTCTCCATCTTTCTTGTAGGCTCTCTTCAGGTACTGGAAGGCCACAATGTATCTACACACACAAAACTGTACATTCCATCAATACACCACCATTTGAATTTTGTAGTCCACTGATGTGCTATTCAGTATGGGAAACCTGAGATTTTGCTGTGGATTAGAAGCTTATGTTTTCTCATACAAATTCACAACAGAGTCATATAATAAATACAGTTATTGACATAACTTACAGAGAAGTTAATGCTCAGTGGCACTCACAGCAGGACAAGCTGGTGTTTTGCCTTACCTACAACAGGGATTTCTACATCAGCCCATCCTCTGTCACTCACACTGTAACTCTTGAGCGTGAGGAGCACTATGGGTCTTGTTTCAGCATTTCCTCTGATTTCTCTGCATTTTGAGACTAGTCTCAAACACTTGGTTCTTAATATGAACAGGAGTTTTATAAGTCATTATAGAGATCATTATTTCTTGGAAAGTAGCAAATGAAACTGATCCCAAATCTTCTCCAGCTTTTCAAGGGATGCCAGGAAAAACATGATCCCAAATCTTCTTCAGCTTTTCAAGGGATGCCAGGAAAAACTAGATTTGTTATTGATGTAGATTAATCTTCACCCTAAAACATAAAAGGAAGAAAAGGAAAAACAATCAGTCACAGGTACTGTTACAAAGCTGGCCAGGTTTCAGCTGTCAAGAAAGGGAAAAGCTGTTTGAAGTTTGTCTTATACACTCTAAAACCAAAACCCTCTGATATCAGTCACAATAGTCTTTTGAAAAGCACTTAACAGAGTACTGATTTTTTTTTTACAGAAACTTAAGAGATTATGAAAGCAGACTGCTTTATTTTCTTTACACATCATTACAAAATGTTCTCAGTTACGTGACAAGTCAATTAAATGCATCCACTTCACTGTTCAGGATTCAGAATCACAGAATCATATAGGTTGGAAAAGACCTCTGAGACCATCAAGTCCAACCTTTGACTGATCCCCACCTTGCCAACTAGACCACAGCATTAAGTGCCACATTCAGTCATTTCTTGAACACATCCAGGGATGATGACTCCACCACCTCCCTGGGCAGCACCTTCCAATGTTTCTGTGAAAAAG